GAACAATTAATTATATTTCATAAACAATAAGAAAAATAATACAAGTCATCGGTGTCCATTCACAACAAATATTGACATTTCATCAAGCATGTATACATATAACATATGGGAACAATTCATTAGACAATGAAGTAGTAGTCCATTATGTCAAGCGATGACATTTTGTTTACAAATCATCGGCCGTAAATCCTTCGAACAGCCAGTGCCTTCCACGCTAACTCATCGGTTCAGTCATAATAATAATCTTGCAGATTGTCACACACAAGGACATCTTCGTCTTCTTTCCTGGGTTCGGTGGTTAGGAAACCTCGAACAAGGCATCGTTTCTGAACCGTCCAGCGCATTCGAAATGCCATATTTCAAGAATGAATTCAGGACAGTGTTTGTTGGGATTTCTTGCCACGATTCCTTGACCCATCTCGCAACTTCACTAAGCGGACCGGAGCCCTCCTCATTGCATTGGATTTTGTGAAAGTGTGTTCTCCGTTAATCATCCAATCAGTCCACTTTTTCCTGACGTTCATCTTGAACGGCTTGTTTGGAGAAACATCCAGTGGTTGAAGTAGTGATGTGCTGCCAACCGGAATAACAGCCTGGTGCGTCTTCTTTTCAATCAACTTTTTCTTCACAGGACACAAATGGGCCCTGAACATATCCCAAACAAGTATGCACTGATGTAAAGTATAATAAAGTAAAGCAAAAAGTGTCCATAGCAGCAGTTATTCAAACTAGTTAACTGCTACCGGGCTGAATAATTGCTGATATCAAATAATATGATTATTGAGATGCATCACCTGCATGGGTTATCATGCTCAAAATATCATGGAGTAAAAATATCATGAAATATAATTTATCTTGAGTGCACTAGTTAGTATGTACGGAAGCGCTGAAGGCACCTGATGAAATATAATTTATCTTGAGTGCACAAGTAAGTTTTCTTGAGCGCACAAGTTAACATCTTGAGCGCACAAGTTAGTATGTTGAGCGCACAAGTTAATATGTTGAGCGCACAAGTTAGTATGTTGAGTGCACAAGTTAACATCTTGAGCGCTCAAGTTAGTATGTTGAGTGCACAAGTCAGTATGTTGAGTGCACAAGTTAACATCTTGAGCGCTCAAGTTAGTATGTTGAGTGCACAAGTTGACATCTTGAGCGCTCAAGTCAGTTATCTGGAGCGCACAAGTTAGTATCTTGAGCGCACAAGTTAGTATGTTGAGTGCACAAGTTAACATCTTGATCGCGCAAGTTATTATGTTGAGTGCACAAGTTAACATCTGGAGCGCACAAGTTAGTATCTGGAGCGCACAAGTTAAAATCTTGAGCGCTCAAGTTATTATGTTGAGTGCACAAGTTAACATCTGGAGCGCACAAGTTGACATCTTGAGCGCTCAAGTCAGTTATCTGGAGCGCACAAGTTAGTATCTGGAGCGCACAAGTTAGTATGTTGAGTGCACAAGTTAGTATCTTGAGCGCACAAGTTAGTATGTTGAGTGCACAAGTTATTATGTTGAGTGCACAAGTTAACATCTGAGCGCACAAGTTGACATCTTGAGCGCTCAAGTCAGTTATCTTGAGCGCACAAGTTAGTATCTTGAGCGCACAAGTTAGTATGTTGAGTGCACAAGTTGACATCTTGAGCGCTCAAGTCAGTTATCTGGAGCGCACAAGTTAGTATCTTGAGCGCACAAGTTAGTATGTTGAGTGCACAAGTTGACATCTTGAGCGCTCAAGTCAGTTATCTGGAGCGCACAAGTTAGTATCTGGAGCGCACAAGTTAGTATGTTGAGTTAACATCTTGAGCGCTCACAGTATGTTGAGTAGTTGACATCTTGAGCGCAAGTCAGTTATCTGGAGCGCACAAGTTAGTATCTTGAGTGCACAAGTTAACATCTTGAGCGCTCAAGTTATTATGTTGAGTGCACAAGTTAACATCTGGAGCGCACAAGTTAGTATGTTGAGTGCACAAGTTAGTATGTTGAGTGCACAAGTTAACATCTTGAGCGCACAAGTTGTTTATCTGGAGCGCACAAGTTAGTATCTTGAGCGCTCAAGTTATTATGTTGAGTGCACAAGTTAGTATGTTGAGTGCACAAGTTAACATCTTGAGCGCACAAGTTAGTATGTTGAGTGCACAAGTTGACATCTTGAGCGCTCAAGTCAGTTATCTGGAGCGCACAAGTTCGTATCTGGAGCGCACAAGTTAGTATGTTGAGAGCACAAGTTAACATCTTGAGCGCTCAAGTTATTATGTTGAGTGCAATAAGTTAACATCTTGAGCGCTCTGGCTATTATGTTGAGTGCAAGTTAAGTTAACATCTTGAGCGCTCAAGTCAGTTATCTGGAGCGCACAAGTTAGTATCTGGAGCGCACAAGTTAGTATCTGGAGCGCACAAGTTAGTATGTTGAGTGCACAAGTTAACATCTTGAGCGCTCAAGTTATTATGTTGAGTGCACAAGTTAACATCTTGAGCGCACAAGTCAGTTATCTGGAGCGCACAAGTTAGTATCTGGAGCGCACAAGTTAGTATGTTGAGTGCACAAGTTAACATCTGGAGCGCACAAGTTAGTATGTTGAGTGCACAAGTTAGTATGTTGATGATACACCACTCAATATAAGCAGTTCATGTGGAAGCAATGGAGGAGGAGTGGGGACGCGAGTTGATTCCTGCTTATTTCAGTCTTGGGTTCCAATATAAAGATAAATAACACATCTTCTTGTCAAAACAATAGTATTGTTAGTACGCCACTTGAAGCGTATTCTGATGTGCATGTATATCTCTTTCGCACCGGATACCAGATTTGCTATGTTACAGACTTTGCTGATGTTTGACGATCTGGACAAAGACATGGTTATCATGGTAGACATGGTAACTACAACACACATACGTATACATTATGTGTTCAAAAAAATAGCATTGTCCTTGGGCGTTTGATAAAATATATGCAAAGAAAATAACAACTTTCAGCGCTCCCAAACTCTAAAAGATATAGAAATATTGATTAGCATGTACATGCTTTCTACAGCTGTACTGGCCTGAGTGAGTGAGTTTAGTTTTACGCCACACTCAGCAACGTTCCTGCTATATGGCGGCGGTCTGTAAATAATCGAGTCTGGACCAGACAATCCAGTGATCAACAGCATGAGCATCCATCTGCGCAATTGGGAACAGATGGACATGTGTCAACCAAGTCAGCGAGCCTGACCACCCAATCCCGTTAGTCGCCTCTTATGACAAGCATGGGTTACTGAAGGCCAATATTCTAACCCGGACCTTCACGGGTCCTGTACTGGCTTGACTAATCTCACAATGTTCTAAATCTTCCATATCACGATTTCTATTACGCTTTTTGGGCCATCTCCCCTTTGCTTTGGCAGATATTGCTATAATGTTGCATTAGAATCTCAGTTGCTGTAGGGGCTATTATTGATGAAAGTATCAACGAAATCAAATCGCATCAGGCAAAGTAGTACTAACGAAATTCGGTACAAATAATGATAATAACCAAGATAAAACAATAGGTCTTAGAAGACTTTGTCTAAGTAAGACCTTATAATTAAGAGCATTTAAGTTTGATGTTTGGAGTGAAATTATAAAATATATATCTTCAAATTAATTACAGCCACAAATATAAATTCATGAGATTCTTTCTTCTTCCCAGGAGGAGAGAGACAGAGTAGACAATCATGTTATTACCTCAGTGAAGATATGGTTTTGGTTTTCTCTGTTCGAGGTATAACAATGTATACTTCTAATATAAACCTGTGTAGTGGGGATTGAAACGTAGGAAGTAAAAGGAGGAACGTGGTATTTAGTAAGAAATAAAGTCAGTATATGTGCTATACATGCACATACTAATGGATCAAATAAATCAGGCGGGTTTTATATGATATTGTACAGAGTAAAAATGCCATTATATACACGTTAGAAAACAGTTACTGCATGATACATGCAAACCAAAACTACAGATATATAGTTCCCCGAAAGAGGTCGACTTTACTTCCAATACATCAGACATCAGTTTTATAATTAAATATAACACTCAATGTTCACATTTTTCATGGTCATGTACTAATATAGTATATACATAATAAAGCCGGAGCACAAAAGAAGTTATCCAAGCTATACGTTCATGCATAATACTTTGTACCAATATTAGAAGTAGGTAAAACCACTATTCATCCCTGCAATAAACTCCTTCTCATGTTTATGTTTTAATTCTCATAATGACATTACACATACCTGGGCCTGCTTTATCTAATAAAGCAAAAAGTGGTAAAATCAGTTACAAAGAATAGCATTGACAAGCATAAAGAGTAATAAAGACTATGAACTTTTACATAAACATTATCAATATTCATAATAAATTTGCATACATTTACATCTCTGCTCTGCGCACATAATTTCAGTTAAATTTTCCGACCACTATTTAACTAATCACATAACATTTATCAACTTACGGATGGCTCCACAATGCGCAATCCCATAGGCCGCCATGTTAAAGGAGTTCACGGCACTGTACACATGTTGATTAAATTGTTGCCATTCGATAAATAAGCAACGGAAAATTAAACAGAAATTATGTGATTGTAGGCTAAAATTTTCCTCACAAATGTGCAAAATTTGAATTGGACCTTACAAAAATTAAATTCATGAAAATTATTTATGCTACACTATATTAACATGTAAGTCTATTGAAATTACGCCAAGTGCCGAATACTTTTGGCACGACTCTGTATTTTCGTCATTAAATTTACTAAAATAAAGATGCTAACTATATTCAGTCCAAGTGGTCTTTCAGATCCATGTTGTATGTGTACGATTTCGTGACAATAACGAGCTGACACGAAATATCAACGCACATGTCGATGTTAAATGTTGTTTACATTTCGCCCATGTAACGACGACAGTGATCGCCGCCATTCGGTTATAGTGATTGCCGGGGTCACGTGTTAGCGCAGCAGACCCGGAAACATAAGCACGGCCCCGTCTCGCATACTGCACCGGTAACTAGTTTAGCGTGTGACATAGGTACTAGTCTGATACAAGGAACTCTGGGTAGGATAAAGCGATCTATTTTTACACTCCTCTTCGTAACAGCCAGCCAACTCAACGATGGACGTGGTGATTGTATCTGCTGTTCGTACACCTATAGGTAATTTTTGTGAATTGCTATTTAGTTGACAGTGATAGTTTGAACTTGTGAATTAATTCAATCGATTAAAATTTCAATGACACTTCTGTATTGTAACGGAATACTCATAAGTCGATGGTGCCCGGCTGTTTTCCAATGGCAAAATAAGAGACCTTATGACACTGGACTATCAATTTGTTAACAGTGCCTGCCAATTTTTTGCAATACATAGCCCTATACATGGTAAACATGCGCATTTCTCATGTCGTAGTATAATTCACTATCTTCATTCTAGTGTGTGTAAAGACGTCAAAGCAGATACTGTTTTTAATAGGACAGACTTCTTAAACAGAAACAAGAATGTGTTCATTAAATTTAAAATCAAGTTTCATTTAGTATATGTAGCTGGGCTTTTTTTCAAGTAATGTAGGTCGATAGTTTATATTTGTTGCTCAGTGAAGTGGCACATGAGGTGATCTGATGCCCTATCACATCCCACCATGAGGTGATCTGATGCCCTATCACATCCCACCATGAGGTGATTGTGAAGACATATCTGATTGGTTATGGAGTGTCACACCCACTCCAGCAGTAAGGCATTGTATTTTCATGAAAATCACAGTTTTGGACGATTTGCATTTGACCTACCTTAGAATGTGGTACCATATATGGTCTTTACGAGGAGTTGTGATGCTGAAGGTAGACCGAAAAGGTGGTGAAAATGTCCTGATGGATCCAAGCAGTTCCACTAGCCTATTTCCTCTGGTATGTCTGTGTTTGAAAGATATTGTTTCTCCTGCTTTATCATGGTATTTTGAATGTTAGTATCATCTTGTCAATGCTCAAAGACATATAAAGTAATTGTGTTAGGAGTTTACTGTAGTTCAGCCAGCTAAACGTCTTGTTCCTACCAAGGTAGGAATACAAGATGTTTAGCTGGCTGAACTAGAGTTTACTGGTGGAATTAAAACTGCTTTTCAAATAATATCAGGCCAATTTGGGATAACAGATAAGAAAACATGAATAAAAAATAATTGTAATTTTTTAAAAATAATTCCAGACAAATTTAAAAAAGCAGTATGTTGGGTATGTATGTTGTATGTGTGTTTTTGGAACAAAGTGTGCACAATACATGAGAAAGTAAGTAACATTACTGGAGCAGGTAACTCAGGTACTAAGTAGGGTGGATGCTGAAATTGTGAAAAGGACAAGGACCCATGGTACAGGCTGTACAACATGGCGCCCAGCTCTTGAACATTATGAGATTGATGTCTCAAAGCACAACTTCTTCCAAGAGCATCCTATACGTGCTCGATGGGATTGAGGTCAGGTTTTCTAGTTGGCCACTCCATGATGTCAGTATCTGCTTTTTGCAGGAAATTTAATGTCAAAACAGCTGTTTCGTTTTATCATGTTGGAATTGGAGGCCTGGGACATGAACAGCCATAAACGGCACCAGTTCCAAAATGATGTTGCCAAATTTGATTGTCCTCAGCATGTGACCTCACACACGACTATCCTAACCTGGGGCGATCAGATGTAATACCAGTTTGATGCACACATGTTCTCAGGTTGTAGATTGTCCATCTACTGCATCTTATGGCATGTGCAATAGCCGCATTGGACTGGCCAGCCTGGAACATGCCAGTTGCACGGTCATGTTCAACGTTTGTAAGGCAAGGCATTAGTATTGTTTATCTGTCAAGGATTGTTAACATGCTTTTTCTAATCACCAGGAAATTCTGCACACATGAAATTGTGGTCATGTGACTCTGCACCAGGCTAGACCTGGCCATTACGGTATTCACCCATATCAACTACCTTGTACTAAAGAATTTGAATTTTTTTTAAAAAAAATGAACTACCTCGTACTACCCATTTTCAATCAAATTCTCCAAGTGTAAAATCTCCTTTTTTCTTACCCCATAGGTCAGGAAATATTCAAAAACATTTTCCTGGTTGAAATCCAGTTGAAATTAACTCTGATCTCACCATTTGTTTACTGATATGGATTTGTATATATATTTGTCTCATCATCATCATCATCACAGTGATGGTCATTATACAGAGGAATGAGGCAGACATATGGAGAAAGTCAGTTTTACCAGTAATTTACCAAATCTTACATTTGGGAAACAATTCGTATGAGGAACAGTGTTTAACATATTTTTGATAAATAGATTTTGATGTTTTTTCTCACATTAACGCATGTCATTCCCATGTCCAGTTTAGCTGTTTTTCTGACATCTCTGAAACCTCTACAGTTTTCCTTCATCTATAAACATGCATCCCTATGATGGCTATTACCATGATTATTCCGCCATAGCCATCTGTTTATGCATTTCTATGCAATTAGCAGGGCATGTCCCATTCTGAAGGGTCTCTAAATGAACTCACAACCCGAAGCAGATGTATGTGTTTTGCTTTGTCATAAAATGACACAGTAGGAATATTTCAGAATATTCCTGATCACCCATGCTTTGAAATTAAAACTGTTTGCACACCATAAATGTGTTTATGTGCCTGGTGGGGAGACCAGTAAGTGAAACTATCTGCTGAAGGCTCGGGACACAGATGGTCTAAATTGCAACATACTGATCAGGGTGTGAAACTGATATGTTGAAATTACCAGGAGACCAAATCAAGCAGTTGTGCATGTCCTGTATGTCCCTTGTTAATTATTACTATAATTAATAATTTCATAATTTAATTATTGCTATAATTAATAATTTCAAATGAATTTTCATTTTCAATTAATAGTGAAAATAGTCCAATTAAGAATGAATTGTTACTTTGCACCTCCAACCTTTAATCAGGCTGAATTTGTCTCTCGGGTGAAATTTCTCTCTACAATATACACTTGGATTGTTCAATATGAACTTTCAGCCAATGATTTTTGTTGTACCTTTATTTCTTTTCACTGGTACATGTTTTACAATAAATGGATAGTTCATAGTTCAATACACATAGTATCTAAATAAAATGGGTATGACAATTCAGTAGCTGACAGTTATGGCTTTTACAGGAGATGTATTGTTCAGGTAAATAGGCGATGACATTTTGATCAGTATTTCATGAATTTGATGTACTCACAAGTTAAGGATGAGATATATCTGTCTGTATGATATATATTGGTAAGTTAATATATTGAGTGCTAAAGTTGCTTATCTTGAGCGTACAAGTTAATATCTTGAGCGGATATGTTAGTATGTTGAGAACACAAATTATCATCTTTAGCGCACAAGTTAGTATCTTCAGCGCACAAGTTGATATCTTGAGCACAGAAGTTAGTATCTTCAGCGCTCAACTTTGCGTTTGGCATTAATGGAACGCACGTTTGCTTGACTGCTGGCTGAAATGTACAAACTTATATCCTTTTGGGAAGAGTTTAAACGATGCAAAGTCTGAGTTAACTAGGTGCTCATGATGAGACTATGTAAATGTATGCAAATTTCTCATGAATGTTGATAATGTTTATGTAAGCATTCATCATGTTTATGCTTGTCAGTACTATTCTTTGTATCTGGTATTTTGAACACTAACATAAAGCTTAGATAACTTGTTTTGTGCTACGGCTATATTATGTATATATAGTATTACATGACCATGAAAAATGTAAACATTGTGTGGTATACTTAATTATAAACTGATGTCTGATGTATTGGAAGTAAAGTCGACCTCTTTCAGGGAACTGTAGTCTGTAGTCTTGGTTTGCATCAGTAACTGTTTCCTAACGTGGGTACAAGGGCAGTTTAACCCTGTACAATATCATATAAAACCCGCCTGATTTATTTGATCCAATAGTATGTACATGTATAGCACATATACCAACTTTATTTCTTGCTTAAATACCATGTTCCCCGTTTTACTTCCTCCGTTTCAGTACCCGTGAAGGTCCGGGTTAGAATATTGATCTTCAGTAACCCATGCTTGTCGTAAGAGGCGACTAACGGGATCGGGTGGTCAGGCTCACTGACTTGGTTGACACATGTCATCGGTTCCCAGTTGCGCAGATGGATGCTCATGATGTTGATCACTGGATTGTCTGGTCCAGACTCGATTTTATACAGACAGCCACCATATAGCTGGAATATTGCTGAGTGTGGCGTGAAACTAAACTCATTCACTCACTCCCCCATTTCAATCCCGTATGTATATGTATGTCAATGTGTGTTGTAGTTTATTTAATATGTTTTAACAACAGAGGAAGTTGAAGAATAAATGCGTCGATAAAGACGGTGTCTTGAGCAAAATTCAACACCATCCGGCTCCAACACTCCTAGCAACGACCGTACATTATCCTGTTTCAGCGTATTGAATACATTTTTTATGCATCCAACGATAACCATGTCTTTGTCCAAATTGTCAAAGTTGTCCGCAATAAAGTCTGTGACATCAGCGGGGCTGTGGGGTAGCCTCGTGGTTAAAGCATCCGCTCGTCACGCCGAAGACCTGGGTTCGATTCCCCACATGGGTACAATGTGTGAAGCCCATTTCTGGTGTCCCCCACCGTGATATTGCTGGAATATTGCTAAAAGCAGCGTAAACCGTACTCACTCACTCACTGTAACATCAGCAAATCTGGTATCTGGTGCAAAAGAGGGACATACACCTCAGAATACGCTTCAAGTGGCGTACTATACTATACCCTGATTTTTGACAAGAAGATGTGTTATGTGTTTGTATTGGAACCCAAGACTGAACTAAGCATGAATGAGCTCTTGTTTCCGCTCCTCCGTTGCTTCCACATGAACTGCTTATGGAGTAATGTATTTCAAGATACTTAGTTGAGCACTCAACATACTAACGTCTGCGCTCAAGATACTAACTTGTGCGCTCAATATATTAACTTGTGCACTCAAGATACTAACTTGTGCGCCTAATATATTAACTTGTGCACTCAAGATACTAACTTGTGCGCTCAATATATTAACTTGTGCACTCAACATACTAACTTGTGCGCCTAATATATTAACTTGTGCACTCAAGATACTAACTTGTGCACTCAAGATACTAACTTGTGCGCCTAATATATTAACTTGTGCACTCAAGATACTAACTTGTGCGCTCAATATATTAACTTGTGCACTCAAGATAACTAACTTGTGCGTTCAAGATATTAACTTGTGCATTCAAGTTAGTAACTTCTGCGTTCAAGATATTAACTTATGCATTCAAGTTAGTAACTTCTGCGCCTAATATATTAACTTGTGCGCTCAAGATAACTAACTTGTGCGTTCAAGTTACTTACTTGTGCGCCTAATATTTTAACTGGTGCACTCAAGATAACTAACTTGTGCGCTCAAGATGTTAACATGTGCACTCAAGATACTAACTTGTGCGCTCAAGATGTTAACATGTGCACTCAAGATACTAACTTGTGCGCTCAAGATACTAACTTGTGCACTCAAGATGTTAACTTGTGTGCTCAATAGATCTCTAATAGAAGCAAGTCTCTAAAAGACAGGTCTGGTCATCGTGAGGCTCTTAAAATCAGCTTCTCCCCACGAATCATCTCACGTCCATCTCACTAAATTTTTAATTTACTCAGGTGCCTCCAACGTTGCCTCAACATCACTTGTTCACATGGTTAAGAAGATTAGCTACCCTTTCTCTCGAGTCTTCTCTCATATGTTTTTTTCAGTTATTTTAGTATAAATACATGAAACCACTGATCATCATGATCATGCTGAACCCATTGCTTACTCGGAACAACCAAACAATGAAACGATCATATATTTTATTCATAACGATTTTATATCCAGGGATTATCTAATTTCAGTCCAATGAGTAAACAGATTTGTGAAGAACACGGTTACATCAGTCAGTGTTGATGAGATGTGTTGTTACTTACTATTCTTACCAGCTTTACTGTTTTATGATGTTGCTTTGTGCTACACTCTTATGTCTGTCTTCTGTCTTTTGACATGATTTATTCCTTTGTTTACTTTCTTACTTTCTGGCCCAAGCCATGGCTATATTATTTCATGCATAATTTCCAGATAGGTCACGCTTTACACCACATGTTGCACATGCAGATTTGGCTAATATGTGGGTATTGACATTAGCTTTGGTGTCTAGCTCACTGATACCCGTTCTCACTGTACTAACCGATTCAGTATTTGGAACAAAAATATGAGATATTGAGCTACCAGATTAGATGTTTATAGCATTTGTCAGATGAGTATGTGCTTATTTAGCATGGTATGTGAACTTAGAACCACCTTTGCACTCAGTTGTTTTGTTTTGGACATGGAATAGGTGACGGGGCAATTGGCAATCTGAAAAACAACAACCAAGAAATCTAAAACTTTAAATGATATATAGAGGGAAGTTAGACAGGAAGATAATGATGGAAAATGTCATCAGTCAGACTAACATTGTAAATGGAAGGTTTAATGTCACATGAAGTTTTTTATTGACCATGTTTACATTATTCAACCACTGTCTCAGGTACGAAGTGAAAAACTCTCTGAGACCAACTGTCAAGGAAAAGACACACATAAAGGCCTGCACATAAAAATCAATTAAGAATACTTGCTATTTGCAATGCTACATATATGATAATTTAAACATAAGCACAACTAAGCTGGATTATAGTTGTATTTGTCATGGGATTAATTCATACAATATGTTTCTTTGTAATTTATATTTGCACTTGTGGTATTGTGGTACTGCTACTAATAATAATAGTCCGCTTATATGGCACTCATATCCAGGCACATTGCCTGCTCACAGCGTTACATACATTACTATCGCCGGCCATAGGACACAGTGGTACTTTCCCATACTTTTTTTTAACTTGCTGCCTGTTAGGCTCAATGAACTAAACACTCACATTGCCAGCACATCCTCTAAGTATCTTATCCAAGGATACTACATAAATGTGCCCACCTCGGGACCCGAACCTAGGTGCCTCCACCGGGGATCGAATCTGGGCCTTCAGCGTGATAGGCAGACGCCTTACCACTGCACTATTGCGCTCCACAAAACAACATAACCTACTTTCTTCTAAGTACAGATTTGAAAATAACCTGTCTGTTGTGGTTTGCAGGTTCCCTGAATGGCGTATTGTCCACTGTGCCTGCCCATGAACTGGGCTCCGTGTGCATTAAGGAGGCATTGTCACGAGGTCAGGTGAAACCCGACCATGTTTCTGAAGTCATACTGGGGCAGGTCCTCACAGCAGGTAACTGGTTCCAATTTGTGAAAGAGTCTTAAAAAAGTGCAAGCCTTAAATGTTACAAGTTATTTTAGTCTAGTCACAAGATAATATTAGTATCATAGTATTGAGCTAATTCTTCACAACATATAGTCAAATAGTCAGAGAAAACCATTAAGCAAAGGCTGTTACTCAAGTTCATCTCATGATGAGGACTGTTCAGATCTTTGTTTATTGGATAGCAAGAACTATGATCTGATTTTATTCAGAATAAGAAATGTTATGCATACAGGGTTTGTAGTTCCTAGTGCTACCGTGTTTTGTGGCACATATGAAATATCATTGCCATACTTTAATATTATGGGTAGTGCCCTGTGGGCGTGGTCATTACTTAAAGTGTACTTACTTCAATGTTTATTTTATGACTTATCAAAACTAAACTGTGCAATGAAGCCTTTTCCCCATTAGTTCCACATGTAATGGAAAATTATTTGAAGAAGTATACATTTCTGTTTTAATTTGATTTCATTATGGCTGATATATATTTTTGTGGGACTTTATTTTTACATATATTTTGCTGAGATCAGTAACATGTGGTTTGATGAAGGACTTGGAACACATTACACTTTTGATGCAGGGACTCTCAGTTGACAACACCTTGGTTGACAGGGACGTCATCAGTTTGTGAACAATATAAACTACTCAAAGTTTGCTAAGGATCACATTTTCAAGTCAACGTGAAATTAAATACTCAATGATTGGGTAACCCCACTGGAGCCACACTACTACATAAAGCAGGGACAAGCATGCAGTGACAGACACCATATGCACGTGATGCATGATAGCCACAGTTTCCTCTGTTCTGTCATTGCACGCTGTTTTGAGAACCTATTGCTATTACTGAAAACAGAAATGCCCCCTCAACAGCAATGACATCGTTTGACAGTCGAAGAATAAACCAGATGCGTAGGCATGCATGAAAGGGGGACAACACAAGGTATCTTTGCCAAAGTCCTTTGTGCGAGTCACTCAAAACGTAGTCTGCAGGGGTTGGAATCAAACTCATGTTTCAGTTACGCAGCAGCATGCGGTTGGTCGAACATGTTCCACCAGCCAGCGTGATGACCGGTTTCTCTTGCTTTCAGCAAGACATCATCACTTTGTGATGGCAACCACGCTACGAAATGAACTGCAGAATACCCTGGAGTGACTGTTTTCACTCCGTAATCGTCTTCTGGAGGCTGGTCTTCCATCAAGGAGTGCAGGCATTCACATCCCTCGTATCTGGTGTCACTGGCAAGATCATGTCAAATGGATAGTCAGTAATTGAGCATCCGTACACTTCATAGACAAGTCAAGGTACTGTGTGGACTTCAAAGATCAATGTGCATGGGTGTGGCGAAGAGCAGGAGAGCAATTTCATGATGTTAACATAGCCGAACATGACAGATGGGGAGCTGGCTCATTAATGGTTTGGGCAGGTATCAGCACTCCCAGCCCTGATCTCCAGGGACTATGACAGGTGTGCGTTACAGAGATGAGATCCTAGATGTGTACGTGGGACCGTTTGCTGGTGCAGTTGGTCCTGACTTCATCCCCATGGACGATAATGCATATGGACATATTTCCATCTCACGTCGTTCTGTGTATTCAGGTTCTCTCCAAGAACTCGGAATTGCTCTCTGCCATGAGTGGAACAATCTTCCCTTGGCATCAATGGAACAATCATCCAGACTCTTATTGGAAGCGTGAAACGACCGCTATTGACAGTTGTTGTGTCATGGTCAATGACTTGATCCATGATTTGGAGATTTGTTGTTTGCTGTCATGATCACCTGTTTTATGGCAGTCTCACCTCACCTGTCCATTACGTGTTAGTTTGGCCTCTTCATCAACACATCACAACAATTTCCTTTCAATTAAACATTTCTTTGCATTTTTTTGTCCATGGTTATTTGTGTTTGTCAGTGAGATGTATATTGTCATATTTGGAATATGTTATCCTTAGCAAACTTTGAGTAGTATAGTATTTTAGTTGTAAATTCAGATTAACACTCGCACAACTGTTAAGTCCTTCTACAGTTTGATCATTGTTTTATTTTTAACCTTTAAATTGAAAGGTCAAGGGCAGAATCCTGCACGTCAAGCTAGTATGAAGGCTGGCATCCCTGCATCAGTGCCAGCATGTGTTGTGAACATGCTGTGTGGGTCGGGCCTTCGGTCTGTAGTTCTTGCATCCCAGGCAATCAAGACAGGGGACGCCACTGTGGTAGTGGCAGGAGGACAGGAGAGCATGAGCAAGGTGAGTTGTCATGACTACACAGTTTTCCCAACTAAGAGAAGTGCAGGAGAGTATAAACTACACAGGCAGTCTTTACGCTCTTTAGTTACTGACATCTTTTCCATTACAGTCCCCCCACTGTATTCATATGAGAAATGGCACAAAGTTTGGTGATGCCTCAGTCACAGACACCCTGATGAAGGATGGCCTGATAGATGCTTTCAACAACTACCACATGGGTATTACAGGTACAGCCATACATAACATGTTGTTTTTATTCCTAGATGTTAACCACAGTGGTCGATCCAGAGTGAGGGTTTGAAATGTGCAAGCTGATTTCTATGTCCCACTTAGTTTACCAGAAATGGCAAAGTGTAATAACGGCTAAATACATGTCATGTCATTCATTTTCACCCCGGGGGATCTATAGATATACTTCTTCCCCTTATTTCAGACACCTTTCATGCAAAATTGTTATGAAGTAATCAGATATTAACTTGGATCAATATATTGTATTTTTCTGTATGCATTGTTGCTTCCCAGACAAGTTCAGTGATGCGTGTGTCGTCTTCCATGTCATCACAACATTGAGCTGACATTTGACACCAAAGCATGTTTTCAAATAATAAAATATTCAATACTTAGTAGAAGCTGGATATTTGAAAAACACTCAACATTTATGTGAGATATAAGACTTGAAGAGTGTTTGTTTCAGCTGAGAACGTAGCTAAGCAGTGGGAGATATCACGTCAAGCTCAGGACAACTTCGCGCTGGAATCCCAGTTGAAGTACGAAGCCGCCCAGAAGGCAGGATACTTTGATGCAGAGACTGTGACAGTTCCTGTGAAAACAAGGAAGGGTGAATATTATGTTTGACACACTAATACTTATGAAGGTGCTATGTGACAAGCATGCAAATAAGCTCACATTGAATTTCTAATGTCTGCTTGCTCAAAACACTATTGGCTGGCATTGTCAGTATGTTTAAACCAGTGGTAGCTGATCTAAGCATGTGTTTGTTTACAAACCATTTGGCACTATATTATTAATTGGACATCCATTCATATGCTGGCTTACTGGTAGTAAAGTGACAAATTACAAATGACATTATATGAAGAGTTGACATTTGCAAGGAAAATAAAAAGTCTGGAATGTTCAGGTCTGGACTTGACAAAGACTGGAAAAAATGGTCTCATTTCTCTTAGATTTCTTTTTCTCTGTGAGTTAACCTTTTATGCCCAAGTTTCACGTAATAAGAACCAGAACACAACGAAAATAAAATCTGTTTTCTTGCTTCTTCATATGTTTATTGTGAGAGATGTATTGAGACATTGTGTGAGTCTTGTAGAGAAGGGAACGGTATTGCAGTTGTGTTATCAATACACCAGCCTAGTTTAGGTCCCTCTGTCTGCAGGTGTGGAGGAGGTGAAGACAGATGAGTACCCTCGTGCAGGCTGTACACTGGAAGGTTTCACCAAACTACGACCATGTTTTGTGAAAGATGAAACTGGCACGGTAACTGCTGGAAATGCTTCAGGTAGGAACCAGGCCGTAGGAACTGATCTAACCAGAAACCATTTGTTGGATGATGATACATGTTCACATCTGCTAACTTTGCCCGCTACATTCTCATGATAGAATTCAGCTGTCATTACCACCTGCAATGTAAATATATGTAGTATTCAGTATATAGTAGATTCCAATCTCAGCTGCACATGTGCGGTTAATTTTGGAACATGTCTTTTGGAAATTGATACACAAATGGTCCACACATTTCGGTAACGATAGTTACACAAGTGCAATCTGTAGAATCCTTGATGACATGTGCGATGTGTTACTAATGTCCATGAGACCAGCTGACGATATGTGACTGTTGATTATTCTCTTAAAGGTCACATGTAACGTAAAACACAACTTTGCAGATTCTGATACCTTTCGGTATGGACTTACCGAAACAAATCGTCAAAAATGCAAATTCAACTTATAAAGTTGAAAAATAACGCGATGAAAAAAACGCGCGAAATCGGAGTTCAAACGTTTCACTAATTTTCCCCCAACTGGTTTCAACAGCTGGGCTGCGCTCATAGCACGTGCGCAGTGAAATAGGTTCGCGCAGCTTGGAAGCGGGTTGTCCGGTGAATACTCGGTGAAGGCTTTGGTGTGAGCTATTTTTCTAATGTTTTGTTGATATCTCACAGGCGCGAGCTTTTTATATGTTATGACAGTAAATTAACTGTTTATATAATTTCATTTGTCTATTTCACCACACGTTCTTCTTACCGGGTCACTTTCTCAGTTCGATATTTAAAAGCAATGTCATTATTTAGCGTTGACAGAATTTCTAACTGTGATATAGATATGTCGTTGTCACAGACAAAACTCAATGTCTTGGTTTATTGACACTTGTGTGTCTGCCTGCCTGTCTGCTAATGACAATATTCAATACACAGCTGCTATCCCTGACCACATGCAATTTGAACTTAACACCAATCAGGCTATACACCATAAACAAAATGCATTGATTTATGGCCCGAGTTCGGTCTCTGTCACATTATGTTATTACACAGACAGGCAGGTGTGATACTTGAACACATCACATGTTATGATGTCTGTTGATTGCAAAATGTTATGCACAAAAAAATGAGCATGTATTTACAAAACCCAACATCTCTATATATACACACACAATGAGCCGTGAGGGCATCTGCAAATGAACCAGCCGTTACACTTGAGTGCACACCCACCCGCTCTGACTGGGTTCGGTATCCTGGCTGCTTCGTTTCTTGAGAAGTAAACCCAAATACACAATATTGCACTTTTGATTTGCAATTGTACGCTTATAATTTTGTTTATATGTTTTTTCATAACCAGCAATGTATATTATATGTCATGAATAAGTGATAATTGGGTTTTAATTATGTTTGATTTTTTGGTAGCATGTGACCTTTAACTTAACCTGGAAATCTGTGTCAAAATGGTATGTCCGGCAAATAGCCAGAAAACCTACCTACATCCCCCGCCATTACCTGGGTTGTTTTGGTCTTTTCAACCTCAGAAATATTGTTAATTTTCCATCGACAACTTTCTCAGAGTATGGCACCTAATCTCAAGCACACAAAGTCAGATGTACTAGAATCTATACTATAGTCAGAAAGTGTAACCCCAAATATAACATATGTAGCATTTGACCACTTTCTAAAAGGCAATGTGTATTTATAACCTTTTATGTTAGTCAACCCCTTTATACAGAATCTTTTTCTGGTCCTCAAGATCTGGTTTACCTGCCCTCACATATGGTGCATGCATCAGTGATGGCCATTATTACAGATATTACTCCTGATTATGGCTGCTGATTCCATTTCAGGCATTAATGATGGAGCTGCAGCACTTGTCCTGATGAGTGATGCAGAGGCCAAGGCCAGACATGCCCCTGTGCTGGCGAAGATTGTGTCCTGGGCACAGGCTGGTGTGGACCCTGCAGTGATGGGGACAGGACCAATTCCGGCTACACGGAAAGCAGTAAGTGCATCTGACCAATGAGTGAAGCCTTTGCTTCACATATATGAGAACATATCCTTATAAGCAGTCCCACATGGTTTCAATGACTGGAATAGTTCATTGTTTTGTATCAAATACTCAAACCGGCTTTACCCGATTTATATCCCTGAGAATGTTGACAATTACTGAATATGTTTTCACATTTGATTGTATGACACTGAAGATCAAATTCAGCATTAAAGAGCATTTGAACATGAAGAAAATAAGATCTACTGTGACTGCAGGGTCATGATAATATCCAATTTGTGTGACCTTCATGTAAGGTGGGGGTCACTAGAGGTCATATTTTGAAACATGGTTCAAATTTCTGGAAAGTTCAATGCTGTGAAATGGGGTTTAGCAATATAATTGCAGTTATATGGCTATATGCATGCCCAGGATCAGATTGCTAACCGAGCCTTGCTTCCATGTTTCTGTGTGTTGGTACAGTTGGAGAAGGCTGGCTGGAGCATCGAAGACGTAGACTTGATGGAGCTGAATGAAGCATTTGCTGCCCAGTCAGCTGCAGTCATCAAAGATCTCGGCTGTGATCCATCAAAGGTGAGATCTCCACAGGAAAATTGTACTGTAACAAATGGAAGTTCATGCATGTGGGCTGAATGTCCAGGTGAGTTTATGTGTTGACCTGTTGGTCTGTTGTGTGGCGTGGCTGTGCATTGTCAGCCAACATCTTCTCCCCTGCAGCCAATAAAACTGAACTGATGATGACGCTTACTATAATTCCAATGGTACAGTTCACTTGTTTAGGTTTGTTATTTAGAACTGAAAAATACCAGCCTGGTAACCTCCAAAGACTGCTGAACAAATGAAATCTGTGTATTTCAGTAGCTGTACTATGAATTCATCCTTTAGTTACAACAGTCTCCATGGTCAAGGTAAATACAGCGTCTGCCCAGTGAGCAGAAGGTGGGGGATCAATCAATGGAGCATTGCATTAAGGGAGATAACTTAAGTTACTATACTGTGTCTGAATGCAGTGTTGATGTTAATCTGCAGCATGGTATCTCAGTGGGCATGCATGTGGCATTTGCATTTGAGCAGAATAATCTTGTGTTAGACATTAAACCCTTTTATACCTCCAGTAAAATAAGAAGTAATCAGATTCATAGTACCCACAAAATACTGAAACCATTAGATTTTGGACTAAACATTTGTTTATAATATCTTTGCAATGACATGTCCAAAAGTATTCACTGAATTCTTGTACAATTTTAAACATTGGTCAATGTTGAAGTTCCTCTACCTCTAAATGTGTGCTTTGTATAAATAACATACATGGCATTTTTGGAGATGTTAATAGAGAGTGAACCAATATTCCAGTGTCACATCCAAGAGTGTTATTGAAGCTGAATATGTGCACATGAGCACATTCTGAATTTCAATAGTTGCAGAATATACCTTTTGCAGAATATACATGTGAACAACACAAGCAAATTGAACTGTATCTTTGTGTGACACAAAGTTTGGTTTAATGGTTCAGATCAATATGTTTTTCAGAAAGTAGCTGAATTATAACTACTTGACATGAGATTCCTGCCCCTGATTGATTGATTGATTAGAGGGTTACGATAATTATAACATGAAAGATGTTATATTTGGATGAAAGTGCTATCATTGTGTTATCAGTCTCAGTCACTGAAAGAAATCAGCTCATCTGTTACCATGGTTACCCAATATGAATTCATTTCTTAGACTTTGTGTGAAGGTATAGGTAATGTCCGCTTTGTAGCTTGTCTTGGTGAACATGGAATGCAGAGTAACAACATCAGCCAATATCGATATTACTGATACATACCCATTGTGGAATACAGAAACTGAAATTGTGGAACAGATTACAGGTGACTCCATACTACCTGTACATCAATATCTAGAGCTATAGACAAATTCTTTAAATTTTATCAATATTTCATGTAGCATGATTCAACTGTAACATGTTCAAAATTTATGTCTTTCTGAGATACGACAGTTATCATCATTTCTTGCTAAGTTATAATTGAGAATGTGTAGAATAATATAGCCAGTCCAGTTAAAGTCGTCATTGGAGACTGGTAGATACATGTGGGATTCTGGGCACCATAGGTCCTGTGTGTGGTGCTTGAAGTAAGAACCAGCTGACAAGAATCAGGCGGTGTTGATGCTTGTTCATACTGGTCAATTGTTTTCCTGGCTCAGACTCATATTTACAGACCACTGTAAATTGTAGGTGAAATTGGCTTTAACATCGTGCTTGAGAATATTTCGCTCATATGATGACATGCATGCGTGTGTATATGTATGTGCGGCTGCTTGCACTAGCCCAGACAGAAGCTGGTTTTATAGTGCTAGCCCACTAAGATACCATGCCACAGTGAAGCATGAATACCCCACTCAGACACATTATACTGACTCCGAGCCGACCAGTCCTTGTTGTACCCATTAATACCGAGCGCCAGGCAGGGACCAACAAGTACCATATTTTAACGTCTTTTGGTATGACGCGGTCGGGGATCGAACCCTTCCACTCTCCCGGGCGGACACTCTAACCACTACACCACGGAGGCAGTCCCTGTAAATTGTATAATATAGATGGAATGTTACTGAAGGGGATTGACATTCTCTCCGATAGACTGGAAAAATAGAGTAATTGGATTGCCTAGCATCTATAGTTTTGAGAAGTCGTTGAAACCAGAATGTAACTGGAACTTGTGGAACCTAATGTACAAAGTGCATCGTCAACATCCAACTTGCAGTTTGATATGCTCGACGCCTCAAATGAAGCATCCCAGGAGTGGTGTCTTTTAACAGTGCCATCAATTCCATAATATAAAAGTGGTCACAATGGCTACAAGGTTGTATGGAAAGTAGTTCGTTGTCTCCCTATGTTTGTTTCAGGTAAATGTGAGTGGCGGAGCCATTGCTCTAGGACATCCCATCGGAGCATCTGGGGCACGGATCCTGGTAACACTTCTCCATAACCTGAAGCGCACAGGGGGGCGGCAGGGTGTGGCAGCACTCTGTGTAGGAGGGGGGATGGGTATCGCTTTGTGTGTGGAGAGATCATGAGATCAATATAAACCTATTTTTCACAGATTGAGTGTACATATCAGTGAATAAACAGTTTGTTTGGATGGTTATTCTTTATATTTAGACGCACACCAATATTACTGTCACATGGGACATGTAGAAATACAGAAGGAAATAAATATTATATAAGGTCATGAATACAAACCATCCCAACTATAGATGGCTGATTGCAAACTTACAACTGTAATAAATGCAACCAGATGCAGCAAGGAAATTCCATGTCAACAACATGGTGCTTGTAAACAGTGTTTATGTGCATCTTCAAATATCTCTTCAAATATATGTACTGCATATACCACCACAACATTGTTGCCCTGCCATGGGACATATGTACTGCATATACCACCACCACCACATTGTTGCCCTGCCATGGGACATATCTACTGCATATACCACCACCACCACCACATTGTTGCCCTGCCATGGGACATATGTACTGCATATACCACCACCACCACATTGTTGCCCTGCCATGGGACATATGTACTGCATATACCACCACCACCACATTGTTGCCCTGCCATGGGACATATGTACTGCATATACCACCACCACCACATTGTTGCCCTGCCATGGGACACATGTACTGCATATACCACCACCACCACATTGTTGCCCTGCCATGGGACATATGTACTGCATATACCACCACCACCACATTGTTGCCCTGCCATGGGACATATGTACTGCATATACCACCACCACCACATTGTTGCCCTGCCATGGGACATATGTACTGCATATACCACCACCACCACATTGTTGCCCTGCCATGGGACATATGTACTGCATATACCACCACCACCACATTGTTGCCCTGCCATGGGACATATGTACTGCATATACCACCACCACCACCACCACATTGTTGCCCTGCCATGGGACGTATGTACTGCATATACCACCACCACCACATTGTTGCCCTGCCATGGGACATATGTACTGCACCACCACCACCACCACCACATTGTTGCCCTGCCATGGGACGTATGTACTGCATATACCACCACCACCACATTGTTGCCCTGCAATGAGGCATATCTACTGCATATACCACCACCACATTGTTGCCCTGCCATGGGACAAATGTACTGCATATACCACCACCACCACCACCACATTGTTGCCCTGCCATGAGGCATATCTACTGCATATACCACCACATTGTTGCCCTGCCATGGGACATATCTACTGCATATATCACCACCACCACATGCCCTGCCATGGGGCATATCTACTGCATATACCACCACCACCACATTGTTGCATGGGGCATATCTACTGCGTATACCACCACCACATTGTTGCCCTGCCATGGGGGCATATCTACTGCATATACCACCACCACCACATTGTTGCATGGGGCATATCTACTGCATATACCACCACCACCACATTGTTGCCCTGCCATGGGATATATGTACTGTATATACCACCACCACCACATTGTTGCCCTGCCATGGGCCATGTATACTGACTATACCGCCACATGGTTATCCTGTCATGGGCCATGTATACTGACTATACCGCCACATGGTTATCCTGCCATGGGCCATGTATACTGACTATACCGCCACATGGTTATCCTGCCATGGCCATGTATACTGACTATACCGCCACACCATGGGCCATGTATACTGACTATACCACCACATGGTTATCCTGTCATTGGCCATGTATACTGACTATACCACCACATGGTTATCCTGCCATGGGCCATGTATACTGACTATACCACCACATGGTTATCCTGTCATGGGCCATGTATACTGACTATACCGCCACATGGTTATCCTGCCATGGGCCATGTATACTGACTATACCGCCACATGGTTATCCTGCCATGGCCATGTATACTGACTATACCACCACATGGTTATCCTGTCATTGGCCATGTATACTGACTATACCGCCACATGGTTATCCTGCCATGGGCCATGTATACTGACTATACCGCCACATGGTTATCCTGCCATGGCCATGTATACTGACTATACCGCCACATGGTTATCCTGCCATGGGCCATGTATACTGACTATACCACCACATGGTTATCCTGTCATTGGCCATGTATACTGACTATACCGCCACATGGTTATCCTGCCATGGCCATGTATACTGACTATACCGCCACATGGTTATCCTGCCATGGGCCATGTATACTGACTATACCACCACATGGTTATCCTGTCATTGGCCATGTATACTGACTATACCACCACATGGTTATCCTGTCATTGGCCATGTATACTGACTATACCACCACATGGTTATCCTGTCATTGGCCATGTATACTGACTATACCGCCACATGGTTATCCTGCCATGGCCATGTATACTGACTATACCGCCACATGGTTATCCTGCCATGGGCCATGTATACTGACTATACCACCACATGGTTATCCTGCCATGGGCCATGTATTCTGTCATACCACCACATGGTTATCCTGCCATGTGTTCTGACTATACCACCACATGGTAATCCTGCCATGTGTTTTGACTATACCACCACATGGTAATCCTGCCATGTGTTCTGACTATACCGCCACCTGGTTATCCTGCCATGGGCCGTGTATACTGACTATACCGCCACATGGGTATCCTGCCATGGGGCATATATACCACCACATGGTTATCCTGCCATGGGCCATGTATTCTGACTGTACCACCACATGGTTATACTGCCATGGGCCATGTATACTGACTATACCGCCACATGGGTATCCTTCCATGGGGCATATATACCACCACATGGTTATCCTGTCATGGGCCATGTATACAGACTAGACCACCACATGGTTATCCTGTCATGGCTATGTATACTGACTATACCACCACATGGTTATCCTGCCATGGGCCATGTATACTGACTATACCACCACATGGTTATCCTGCCAATGGCCATGTATACTGACTATACCACCACATGGTTATCCTGCCAATGGCCATGTATACTGACTATACCACCACATGGTTATCCTGCCATGGCTATGTATACTGACTATACCACCACATGGTTATCCTGCCAATGGCCATGTATACTGACTATACCACCACATGGTTATCCTGCCAATGGCCATGTATACTGACTATACCACCACATGGTTATCCTGCCAATGGCCATGTATACTGACTATACCACCACATGGTTATCCTGCCAATGGCCATGTATACTGACTATACCACCACATGGTTATCCTGCCAATGGCCATGTATACTGACTATACCACCACATGGTTATCCTGCCATGGCTATGTATACTGACTATACCACCACATGGTTATCCTGCCATGGACCATGTATACTGACTATACCACCACATGGTTATCCTGCCATGGACCATGTATACTGACTATACCACCACATGGTTATCCTGCCATGGACCATGTATACTGACTATACCACCACATGGTTATCCTGCCATTGGCCATGTGTACTGACTATACCACCACATGGTTATCCTGCCATGTGTTCTGACTATACCACCACATGGTTATCCTGCCATGTGTTCTGACTATACCGCCACATGGTTATCCTGCCATGGACCATGTATACTGACTGTACCACCACATGGTTATCCTGCCATGGACCATGTATACTGACTATACCACCACATGGTTATCCTGCCATGGGCCATGTATACTGACTATACCACCACATGGTTATCCTGCCATGGACCATGTATACTGACTGTACCACCACATGGTTATCCTGCCATGGGTCATGTATACTGACTATACCACCACATGGTTATCCTGCCATGGACCATGTATACTGACTGTACCACCACATGGTTATCCTGCCATGGACCATGTATACTGACTATACCACCACATGGTTATCCTGCCACGGGCCATGTGTACTGACTTTACCACCACATGGTTATCCTACCACGGGCCATGTATACTGACTATACCTCTCTACTCTACAACCACCACATGGATGAAGCGTCTGGCCGGAGATTGGGTGGGTATTTCGGGATCCACAATGATGCCAAAGGGGTTTTACAAGATGGTACTTGTTACTCTCTCTGGTTCGTCCAAATGAACCCAACGTGCTGAAACCAGACAAGTTCATTCCTCAGAGTGTTCTCAACTCTGACATGGCCGACGCCAACTCTCCTCATTCCTTGAAGAAAGCCTGGGGTGAATGAAAGGATCAGTTATCTGCTCCCCCTCCTTTCGGTCCATGTTTATTCACTCCCTTTAAGGAGTATATATTCTGTTTACACCCACACCGATTTTCTATCTTCTGTCTTTCAAAACAGATCAATTTATAAAACAACACCATTTATGCAAAGTGTTATAACATCTGTATTACTGCTAATGATAGACTATCTTCACAAGTATCGGAGGATGGGTGGCGCTGGTAACTTGGACTGTTCCCAGTACACAGCACATTGCTTAAAGGGACATGGCGATTCCTGCCAGGCGTATCGGATGGCCTGCAGCGTTTGGCACTGTTTCGTCCATGTCACCGTCACACTCGTGGTGGTTCTACTCTTTATGGGACTGGGGATCCAAGGGTGGTCCGGGTCAAGGCACGCGTTGCGCGATGTCGTCGTATTAGTACAACAAATCTGAAATAGTTTTATTCCCCAGTTTATTATTGATACATATAGGTTATTAACTCACCACATTTGACACACACCAATATTCCCACAATAGTAAATGCGAAAAGTGATTAGACATAATGGAAACGCTCAACCGGCTATGAATATTACATTTGCTGACAAAATGGTAACTCAGTTGCAAGATCAGTGAAGGGGAATTGTCAAGTAACGTAATGCACCTCGTGTCACTCATTACCGATCTCCATGCACACAAGCTCGAATCATCATAACGTATCATATCATATGATTTGAGGCTCTGTTCGTAAATATTATCTAACTAAATACACTCGCCATGTCACGAACGTTTATATACCCATGAAGATCCGGGGTAGAATAGGTCTTCAGCAACCCATGCTTGCCACAAAAGGCGACTATACTTGTCGAAAGAGGCGACTAACGGGATCGGGAGTAGTATACAGACTGGGGGTACTAGACCAAGTCCAACAAAAGCCTCTGTAAAGCTTCATTTATGAAATAAAGCTTTTGTCAGGCCCTTATCTCTCTCCGCTATTGTATATACCAGATTTGAACCCCCAGTTAACTTCCTGGTCACTATGACCGCGAACCAACACTTTCCTGATCATGTGACACTATGTCGTGTTGATCTCGAGGAAACAGTTTAATGTGAATCGCCTATGAGCTCTTTGGTTTCGTAATGAAGGCTTGCTGGGCTTGTTGTATCCCCTGCTCTATGTACTTTTGTTTCTCGTCTTCGCTGACGGCAGTCTTACGAGACTTGGTTCGAATCTCTCGTTTCATTTCGTGATATTTTGTGAGTTCAGAGAGGCCCAAATGAAACTCTTCCTCTGAGATTTTATTGTCAGTGAGTGCGGTGGAAATATGGTCGTCTATGGTGTTTAACTTTGCATCGGCTTGGATCCTGATCTCGTCGTGTTTCAATGCCTTACGATGCAGTCTGCGTGACACAAACTTAAACACCAATCCAACCAACCCTGACACCCCAGCTGTTATTTCGATGCCTAGCACTACGGGTGCGGCTATGATTGTGGTTAACAACCCCACACCTACTGCCCCTAACCCCATACTGGTAGCCATAAGGGTGGTATCAACCCCATCCACGACATTGAAAGCTCTATGGTACTTCTTATACATTGCTGCCCGTGTGTTGCGGTCTTGTTCTAGTTGGCGTTTTACATCGCATAACTGTTTCAACCGAAACCTGTCTACGGGTTCCAGTGTCTTCGCTACTTTCTCTACGACTGGGTACAGCCCCATCCTGTGTGTATAATATCAACTGCAAGATATTTTTTAATTCGTCGATTTTAAAATGAGCATCAATGTATTTGAGGCTTATAAGGGCTAGGTTCTCGTTCAGAATCTGGGCAAGATATATTTTAATTCGTTGTTGCTAAATAGGGCATCAATATATTTGAGGCTTATGAGGGCTAGGTTCTCGTTCAGGAAAATCTGGGAAAGGCTAATAGGTGCATTTTCTTCTACCTGAACCAGTGAAGGTTTTACTGAGATGTTTGATTCCGAGTGCCTGATGATACGGCAACGTAGGCCCCCATAATCATATACAGCTTTCCAATTTATTGTCAACCCAGGTAAAAGTTGCCAGCAGGTACTCACAGCAATATCTCCGAGAAGGACTTCTATGATGAGCGTTGAGTCTGGTTTCACAGTCATAGGATTTGGTAGGATATCAGGTAAGTCGGCCCTTAAACTTGAGTCCTCAGATGAATATAACATGTTGCCTGAGTAGAATGGTCTTTGGGAAACTCTTATATTATCAGAATTCGGTATGTAAGACGTGAGCCAGACGCCGTTCCTATTTTCGGAGACAAACCCATTTTTGTTTATGGAGACGTAAGGTGCTGTGAGGGTTAAGTTGATAAACCATTCGGGTTCTTTATATAATCTTAGGCTCGCCTGCTTAAACACGTCGCCTGTACAGTGCAGGGCGTACAAGGAGTCTTCATTACCCCAATCGAACCCCTCCACATTCCCTAAATCCAAAAGCGTGATGTTGGGGTGAAAATTGGCCATTGCTATAATACTATTACAAGATAGTTTCCAATTGTTTTTCTGATAACTTCTCACGGGTGCACTTCAACCCCATGAAGTGTATGTTGTCAGGTAGGAAGATCTTGGTGAGGGATATCGTGTCTTCCACAGTAACGGTGACCCCCTGCAGACTGGTGTGGGAGTCGACACCCACCCGCACATAAACAGTGCAAACGTCATACTGGTGCCCGTTTCACCCACCGGAGTTCGATTCCCTTCACGACTTCGACTTCGTCCTGCAATGGTTCACCTAGGTAGACTTGGATGACCAGCGTGGAATTTGCTGGTAGACCTTCCAGGATTTTGACCACACCGGCGAATTCAGACACCAACTGCAACCACACGTTTTGCGCCCCGGGCTTGCTCGACAGCATGTGGGCTGCCATGCTGGAGAGTTGGCTGATGACTACGCTACGCCTCTGCGTCGGGACGTAAGCCACGAGCAGGGTTCCGTTGTTCACAACTTTGTTTTGGTAGTTGTCTTTGTTTTCCGTGAACACATAGGGGGAGCCAAGCCTAATGTTGAGAAACCAATCGACTCGAGAGGGTAACAACACCCACTTGTCGTTGTCGGTGAAGACGAGGGCATACTGCTTGTTTCGAGCAACGGGCGTGGCCTCGACGTCGCCTAGGTTGAACAGTTTGCTGCCACTGAACGCTGGGTATAACATCCATTTATCCCCACCACTGCGGACTAGGGCGTACCGAATGTTGCTGTTCGTTCCTTCGGTATCGATGATATCACTTAAGTTACTGTCGGATTCCCCGGTGGGGACTTCAACGCGTTTGTAAATGTTATTTTTAAGTTGCAAGGCGTACAGTTTACCATCTATTCCTGGGGCGTCGAACTCGCGTGTGTCCCCGAGGTCGGAGATCCCCACATTGACGCATCTCTTCACCCTTCCGGGACCTTGTGCGTGAGTCATCTTATGTGCAGCGTTATACTGAGGTATCCTATATTCACAGGATTATGCTTTATATCTAAAACCGATATTACCAATTCAGGGATGGTACCCCGAGTTAACCTCTTGTACTGCCGCGATGAAAACGACTCGGTTCTGCCGTCGTTGTACTTCTCCGTCTTCACCGGTACGGCTCTCAGCAGCGTGGAAGGGGGGCCCCCTTGAATGATGTCCGCGTGCTCAGCTGGCCGATATTAATGCACAGCTCTCGGTACGGTACTAGGTCAGGTAACTTCGTGCCTGTGACGGTAGTTGTGGGTTTTATCTCATCCGTCGACATCCCGAGTGTCCTCGCCAATGGTTGGCCGAGCCTCAAGGGGTTTATTCCGTTGTTGGTTAACACCACTGTGCCATTTGAGTCGTTCATCTTGAGTTCGGCTCCCAAGGGTTTGAAGACTTCATCGCTTAGCGAGCACACACTGTAGTAGCTGTCGATTATCTGGTTGCGGGCGCCACTGACGAACAGCTTATTGTTGCAGGCGGTGATGCTGGTCCATCGTGGCAGGTAGGTGATATCGCAGAGTGCGACTTTGGGTTGGCCCGACGTGTAATCGATCGCGTGCATCAGCTGAACGGACTCACCATTCGTTATTCCTAGAAGTGTTACGTACATGTTAGAGTATATATACCCATTATATAATACTTTAAAAATGTACAAACCGGTAGTGTTTTACCCTAAGATGGACATAGACTTCACGAATATGAAGATCGTGGTCGACGGGGCTGGGTTGTACTTCGGAGCCCAGTTCATCGATGTGTTCGAATGGTATAGGCTTTCGGTGACGAACGTCAAGGCAGTCCACGCTTGGTTCTACAACCCGATGCAGTTCTGGCAGAATCAACTCAACTTCGCCGTGTGGTGCACTACAACAGGCTGTGGCTTGACATTGACCGACACTCGGCGTGATGCGCTGAGTAGGTCTGTGTTCATGTTTCACGTGTACTACCAGGTCAGGCGTATCCTCAAAGAGATCAGCGTCCCGCTTCCACAGGACAAGGCGCGGGATGCATCAAACAATCCACACGATCGGCGTGCTTACAAACGGATTTGTGGTGAATTCGAATCGATCCGAAAACGGATTGGCGTAAACCAGGAGGAGTGAACCATGGGTTGGGTATTCCGTACAGTGATGGACTCTCCGTAAAAGCATTACAAAAAGATACAGTGGTAAACTTTATGAAGCACAATATGTTAAGTTCGGGTAATTTCTTCCATGCATTCTCCAACCTCATTCCTAAACCCATACACAGTGGGCCAAAACCGGTGAAAGAAGCCAGCAATGATCTACTGAAACGAGGTTTACTTCGGTCAGAATTTGCTCTGTCGAGTAACGAATGGCGAGATGATCGTATGGACTTTACAGGTGACGTTGGTTTCACCATCCAAAAGGTCTAGCAACCCCCCTACGTTGAAGACAATTGGAAAGTATATATGCTGGACACGTCGAAAGGGTTTACTCGTGCCGGTTCGAACGTACGTGTGGGCGTTGTTGGGTGCGCAGTGGCAAACACGTTCCAACTCTCGGTAAGGGGACTGCTTACGACGCGCAGAAACAGTTCATGGTCAACGTTGAGGATGCTGTTGCTGCCCCTGTCGATCTGCCGAGTGCCATCAAACGCTACCAACACGTATTAGAATACGCCCGGTCTAAAGTCGACTACGTGTTCGACGTGGGACCGTACATGGCCCGAGTGACATGCAACTGAGAGTCAAAAAAGCAGTAGGCTACAACAACGAAATAGTCATAGCCACGGCCGACCAGAAGTTGGGTGTCAATGCAGGCATCAACGTGAGTCACGTCCCACCTCCCACGGGTGAAACGGGCATAGTCGTACCACCCCCAGAGCCCAGAGTTCAACCAGCACCACAACCCCTACCACCACACCAGGTGGCTGAAAATCAACAGCATATAGATCGTAAAACAGCGCTGGTGGTTGGCGGGATCGTGGCCGGGCTCATTTGGTTAAAAATTCCTT